TTATCCATAAGAAGCAACTCATCCATTGAAGTTTTATCATGAGATTGCAGCAATTCAGTCACACATTCAGGAACCACTTCTAATTACAGTTCTATTGCTATTTCCACCACATCTGCAGTTACTTCCTCCAGGTGAAATCTTGATCCCCTCAAAGTCATCCAAGAGGGCTGAAATCAGCTTCTTCCAAACTCCTGTTAATGTTGATATTTTGACCACTTCCCATGAATCGTGTTCTTAGTGGCATCTAAAATGGTGAATCCTTTCTAGAAGGTTTTCTTTTTTTGTTTTTAAATTTTTATTTGTTAAATGCTCCCATTTATTTATTTTTTCTTTCCAGTTTTATTGAGATATAATAGTCATACAGCACTGTATAAGATTAAGGTATAAGGCATAATGATTTGACTTACAAACATCATGAAATGATTATCACAATAAGTTTAGTGACTACCCATCAACTCAAATAGATAAAAAATAAAAGAAAAATTTTTTTCTGGTGATAACTCTTAGGATTTACTCTATTCACAACTTTCATGTATAACATACATCAGTGTTAATTATATTAATCATGTTGTACATGACATCCCTAGTACTTATTTTTGTACATTTTGACCACCTTCCTTCAATTTCAGTTCCTCCTCCCCCAACCCATCATCTCTGGTAATCACAAATCTGATCTCTTTTTTTTTTTTTTTATGAGCTTTTTGTTTGTTTTTGAAGTATAATTGACCTACAACACTGTTAGTTCCTGGTGCACAATAGTGTTTCTGTATTTCTACACATTTCAAAATGATCACCACAATGTTAAGTTTAGTCACCATCTGTCAATATACAAAGATCTTAATTAATATTGACTGTTCCCACATTTATTTTGTACTGGAAGTTTGTACTGCTTAACCCCCCTCACCTATTTCTCTCATCCTCCAACAGAGCTCCCCTATGGCAACCACCTATTTCCTGTATTCATGACTCTGTTTCTGTTTTGTTATGTTTGTCCATTTGTTTCATTTTTTAGATTCCACTTATAAATCAAAATATGCAGCATTTGTCCTCCTATGTCTGACTTATTTAAGCATAATACCCTTTAGGTCAATCCATCTTAATGCAAATGGCAAGATTTCGGTTTTTTATAGCTGGGTAATATTCTAGTGTGTGTGCGCGTGTGCGCGCGTGTGCGCGCGTGTGTGTGTATGGGCACTTAGGTTGTTTCCATGTATTGGCTGTTATAAATAATGCTGCAGTGAACATAAAGATGCATGTATCTTTCCAAATTGCTGGATTGTATGGTAGTTCTATTTTTAGCTTTCGAGGAACCTTCATACTGTTTTACATAGTGCCTGCACCAATTTACATTCTCACCAACATTGCTTGAGGGTTCCATTTCTCCACATCCTCACTGACACTTGTTATTTGTTATCTTTTTGATAACAGTCATTCTGACAATTGTGATGTGGTATCTCATTGTGGTTTTGATTTGAATTTCCCTGATGATTAGTGATACTGAGTATTTTTTCATGTGATTGTTGGCCATCTATATGTCTTCCCTGGAAAAATGTTTATTCAGGTTCTCTGTCCATTTTTTCTTTGTTTGTTTTTTCGTATGAGTTCTTTGTATATTGGGGATATTAACTCCTAAGAGGATACATCATTTGCAAATATCTTCTCACATTCAGTAGGTGGCCTTTTTGTTTTGTTGATAGTTACCTTTGCTGTGCGAAAGCTTTTTAGTTTGATGTAGTCCCATCAGAAGCTTTTCAATTGATTTTGCCCAGATCCATCAGAGGAATCACTACCTATGGCAGCTATAGCCTTACTAGAAGTATTTCTTAAATAGTAAGACTTGAAAGTTGAAATTACTCGATCCATGGGCTGCAGAATGCATGATGCATTAGCAGGCATGAAAACATTAATCTTGTACCTTTCCACCACAGTTCTTGGGTGACCAGGTCATTGTCAACGAACAGTAATATTTTAAAAGGAATCTTTCTGAGCAGTAGGTCTCAGCAGTGGACTTAAAATATTCAGTAAACCATGCTGTAAATAAATGTGCTGTCATCTAGTCTTTGTTGTCCCATTTATAGAACACAGGCAGAATAGATTTAGTGTAAGTCTTCTGGCCCTAGGATTTTCAGAATGGTAAATGAACACTGGCTTCAACTTAAAGTCACCAGGTGCATTAGCCCCTAACAAGAATCAGTCTGTCTTTTAAAGCCTTGAACTCAGTCACTGGTTCTCCTCTCTCACTATGAAATTCCTAGATGACATCATCTTCCAATAGGAGGCTATTTCATCTACACTGCAAATCTGTTATTTAGTGTAGTCACCTTCATGAATGACCTCAGCTAGATCTTCTGCATCTCTTGCTGTGGTTTCTACATTAGCACTTGCTGCTTCACCTTACACTTTTATGTTATGGAGATAGTTTCTTTCTTTAAACCTTATGAACCAACCTCTGCTAGCTTCACACTTTTTTCCTGCAATTTCCTGACCTCTCTCAGCATTCACAGAATTGAAGAGCACTAGGGCCTTGCACTGGATTAGACTTTGGCTTAAAGGAGTGTTGTGGCTGGTATGATTTTCTATTCAGACCACTAAAACTTTCTCTATAACAGCAATAAGACCATGTCACTTTATTATCATTTGTGTATTTATTTGAGTAGCACTTTTAATTTCTTTCAAGAACTTTTCCTTTGTATTCACAACTTGGCTGTTTAGCACAAAAGGCCTAACTATTGATCTATCTTGGTCTTCAACATGTCTTCCTCACTCAGCTTAATCATTTCTAGCTTTTAATTTAAAGCAAGAGATGTAAAACTCATCCTTTCACATGAATATTTATAGGTCATGGTAGGGTTATTAATCAGCCTAATTTCAGTACTGTTACGTCTCAGGGAAAAGTGAGGCCCAAGGAGAGGGACAGAGATGGGGAAACAGCAAGCTGGTGGAGCAGTCAGAATTCAAACAACATTTATAGAATTAAGTTCTCTGTTTTACATGAGCATAGTTCATGGTGCCCCAAAACAATTAAATCACTGATGACAGGTCACCATAACAAATATAATAATAATGAAAAAGTTTGACACACTGTAAGTATTATCAAAATGTGACACAGAGACATGAAGTGAGCAAATGCTGTTAGAAAAGCCATGTCAGCAGACTTGCTTGATATAGGGTCACCACACAACTTCAATTTGTAAAAAACTCAGATCTGTGAAGCACAATAAAACAAGGTATGCCTGTACTATGTACACAATTGACATATATATGCACACCATACACTCTACATTTACTATATACGGTTTTCAAAAGATTGCCTTACACCACTTCACTTTTATGAGAACAACATTAATGCTTATTTTTGCTGATAGAAACCAAAAAGGATTTTCCCTTTTACAAAAAAAGAAAAAAAAAAAGAAAAAATGGGGGAGACAAAACCAAAAATAGTGTTCAGCACTTGTTTTGCAGGGAGCAGTTACAGAGGAAGTATACACCCCAGGCAGACAGAGGGGCATTCCCAAGCTCCTTCCCTGGGAAATACTTAGCATCTCAGCATCAAGTTGCCATAGCTTTGAACTGTATCCGTGAGCATCTTATCTCAAGTTTATTCTGTGCATCTATTAGCAAGAGGTGTCCTAAGGTAATTGCTTCTTTGCTCTATGTCATTTCAACTTACAAAACGGGGGAAACCTGTACACACACACACACACACTATAGTATATGGTGGGAGAAAACTAATGTAGCTCACCCCACCAAGAACTTTCTAGGATAGAGGCTGAAGGAGTGCAATTCAGGGAGGAAACATAAGTTGGCTGTAGCTCTAACTGGATATGCTGAGTTCTTTTGTATCATTTTTTATTTTGCATTCTACAGCCCATAAAACATGACATAGTGACATAGTAAGAATAAAATATCATGAGGTACTGTTTTTGTTCTAATCTACTATTGTTCTCATATTCTTTTTTTCTTCTATTCAGTTTTGGATCATTCATGCTTGTAACCCTAGCTCTGATAGTAATTTGGTCATCAAATATTTTTCCCTCTACTACATAGGCCTCCTCTCCCTTAGTCAAACTTATTTTCTCTGTTGTCCAAATGTACACACAGATATAAATACACACAAATACATACATACTTTTTTTTCATACCCTCCTGATCTCATATTAAGCTACTGACGTTTTAATGTCAAGTGTGTGTGTGTTTTAAGATTTATAAATACAGCTTTTGTGTTACACAGTATATCCTTGTCTATGTAGGAGTTACTCTACATTGACTTTCTCTTTGATTTACAGAGATCCAGAATACACCACCTTGGACAACACGGTTATCCTCAAATCTCATTCCTCAATATGCTATTGCAGTCCTTAGATCCAACCTTTGGCCTGGAGCATATGCCTTTTCCAATGGCAAGTAAGTATGTGACAACTTACAAGGCTATTATCTGGATTACTTAACTTCTAGAAATTATAAGTTACCACTGGAAGGTTAAACTACTATTGTTTTAACTCTTCATTGGCATGTCAAGTGTGTATGGCATAAGATTTATTCAAACAGTATCTGTCTTATACAACAAAGTATCAAATTTAGAACATCAGAGTAATCAGACTTCTGCCTTTTCACTTGAACTATCCAACTAATGGAGCTAAATATGTTTTTTCTTCTGTGATTATTTGAGTAATTGAAATTCATTTAATGGAGGTAATTCTAAGTAGTATTTAAATCAGTTTAAATCTCCCATCAATTTTGTTGGACATCTTGATAAAAGATAATTAAAAACACGTATTATTAAGGATACCACATTCATGAGAATTAGGATCAAGAGGATACTAAATGTTCTTTTATACCCAGAGCATATACTTCCATCGGTTTTACGCTTCCATTTCTTACTTAATAACCTAGTGTCAGAAGCTCGGCTGAGCTGGAGAGTGCTGAGTGGTCAAATGTCAAAGTAGCTATTAAAGCAACAAGCTCAAAATGAAAGTGTTAAGAAGCCTTTAATCACTTACTGTGATGGTACAAGCAAGTTAAAGCACTGATTCCCCCATTCCATTTCTCCATGGAAGGGTACACCGATGGTCAGATGGGTCCGCTCAGTTGTGGCGGTCATCTCACTGACAAGGGCATCCCTGACACAAAGCCCTTGCAGTTTTATGGACCTGGAACCAGAGGAAGATAGCGAGGGCTAGGGAAGAAGACTGGATACTGAGTCAGAGTGGGGAAAAGTGTTTGCAAGGTTTCCCCTTCTCTCACCCAACCCCCATAAAGAGGCCTTGGCAGAGCAGCCTGAAGACAACCTCTGCTGAAGGGCTCAGGTGAAGAGACCTGGGAATGAAGGCACCTCGGCCAGGAACACAAATGTGTGAAGAATATGATGGGCTGGAGGGGTCAGAGTCCTTGACCACAGCTCCCCTGAGAGCCTGCAGTGCACTAGCTGTGCAGCCAGTCTGGTGTGGCGAGGGCAGTTGTCCCCTCTGAGGCCAACTAGGTAAAGCTTCTGCAACTGCCCAAGGTTAGATCTGAAAAACCACACATAGGTCTTTAACCAGAAGCCCGACTCCTCACCAAGCAAAGCGTTTGCTAGGCTAGCAACTTTAATTCTTGCTAATCTAAGGAAGGTAAGTAACTTTTAAATTCATTTGTTTTGTTTTATTTTTCTAAAAATAATTAAAAGATGAAACGCTATGGTGTAAGTGTGGAGTACATTTTGGCAGAATCTGGCCCCATGGTTTTCTTAAACACCTTAAGCAGTTTGTATCACAGTCATTCCCTGTGGTAGAACAATCATTTAGGGATATTTTATCTCTAGTGCATTTTAAATGTGCTGTTTTAACATTATGAGACTATGATACACTAAGTACTTTATCCTTACAGAAAAGAAGGATCAACTTTTCTCACTGAAAAATTGCATAATCTATGTATTTTTTTTTAACTTACAGAAAGTTTGAAAACTTCTACATAGGCTGGGGTCATAAATATAGCCCAGACAGCTATACACCTCCAGTTCCACCACCAGCTTATCAAGAATACCCCAGTGGACCAGAAATTACAGAAATGGATGACCCTAGTGTGGAAGAGGAGCAGGCTTTCAGGGCTGCACAAGAAGCAACTGTAAATCCAACTGAGGAAAATGAAGAAACTGAGGAAGACGAAGATGAGGAAGATGATTACGACTAATAAAAATAAAATCAGCCCAGCTTTACGTGAGACTGATATACACACATCACAAATAAAACTAGATACAAACTAGCAACTATTCATGTGCAAAATATCATTCCTTGAAAATATAAAATTTGGAATTTCATTTGTAGAAATATTAATATGTGCTTTTAGAAAGATGTTCAATGGATTTTGCAGAGATTAAATGATTCTTACATTACTGTTCAGATGGCTATAGCTAATAAAATATATGCTTCTGTATTCTTTTCATAAGTCTCAGGTTTAATTTCTATTGTGGCAAACATGGAAATACAGATAATCCACAAAAGCTTCTTGGGGCCCTCAGTATTTTTTGAGTGTCAAGGAATATTGCTACCAAAAATATTGATAATAACTAAATTACAGCATGTATTCTTAAGCAATCTGTGATACTGTGTATAAACATTGCACGTATGTTTGTGTATGTATATACATCTACAGCCACACTCCCCACCCCCTGGGGAGAGGGTATGTAATTCCACCACATGCTCAAAGAGTATCGGAACACTCAACTTCTTTTACTCCTTACTTCTTAAAGAAACTTCTCAATGTAGTCCTTCTTTTATCTCACAGAAACTAGTTTACCTGACTTGGGGGAAAATAATTTGCAGAGAAATGGCTAGATGGGATATGCAAAGACTTTAGACTGATATTTTCTATCACTGCTTTTCTAAAACTAGTTATTTCCACTCACTAAAAAAGTATTTTTAAGTGCTATATGTGCCGGGTACTCTGAGCCTACTGTTAAAAACTACACATTGCTACTGGAATCTTAGAGCTTATATTCAAGGAAGGGAATATAAAAATGTAGATAGATAATTAAAATAGCAGGTATTATGATACAAACATGATACCACAGGACAGAGTTTCTCCAACTCTGTGATGAAGAGCCAATTTAAAACAAATTGTCTAATCCACTGCTATTATCTTTGTAAAATAAAAATGTCAGCCACTGTAATTTCTGTAATTATCTTGTCACAGACTGGCAGTTTGCACATCAGTGATCTACACTTGGAGAAACGTTGCTTATCAAACACTTTGAAGTTGCATTTAATCCAAATTTGAGCAGTTCAGGAAGGACTTCTAAGAGGAAGCACTTCTAAGAGGTGGAGAATAAAGGGGAGAAGGGCCCTAGGCAGCACTAGCTATATATATTCTGGCAAAGGACTATAGGCTGAAAGGAGTGAGAGATGAAACTGGAGAGGTAAGCAGGGCCCAGACTATATGAGATTTTATCCATGAGCAACGAAGAGGACTCAATTAGGAAGTCACAAAATCGCATCTGTTATTTTAGAATGGTCTGGCATCCATGTGGAAGATGGGCTGACAGGATCAAGACAGGGAGACCAGTTAAGATGTTATCACATTGTCTAGGTAAGAGATAATGATGGCATGAAACAGCATAATTGCCTGGGGATACAGAACAGAAACCTGGTTAACAGTCTGAAGGACAGAATATTAAAAAGGATGGTTTCCAGAATTTTTCAACTGGCAATATTATTCATTTCTGGAGCGCAACTTTCAGTATTTGATGCTATAAAATAATATTTATAGAACTTCATTCAAGTAAGTTATTGTTCACTTTTTTTCATGGGGTAGTAGACACTTGGTGCTTTTCTTTTTTGTTGTTCAATATCCATTTCTTCATCTACTCTGATTTCCTTTTGAGAAACTGCCTGCCCCATGGCATATGGTCACCTGCTAATCAGATATGTGCTCTCTGGAATCTGAGATTTGAACAGATGTTCTACCTTGGCTTCTAACCTGATGGCTCCTGCTATAAAGTGGGCCATATTCTAGCCAGTAGTGTTGCCTTGGTTCTAGCACAATTCCCTAGTTACCTGTGGATTCTGTGAGCTTCTGATAATTTCAATGAATTCTCTTCTGCTTAAATTGGTCAGAGAAGAATTCTTGCTTGCAACCTTACTGGCAAATCCAACGTGAATCTGGAAATTTCTTTCCTACAGAACACATTAAACACAAGACTCCACAACACAGCTGTTTAAGTAAGAGTGAAAATATTTAACAAAAGCTAATCCCTCTTTTTAGAGCTTTGCCTGCTAAATATTAAGATTATTTCTAAGTAGTAATGAGGGAATTTCATTACATATATTTTATAACAGAAGAAAGCAGAGTGCTCTAATCGCAAGAGACACACTAGGATCACACTCTGGATTATGACCACTTTCTTGGGTAAATTACTAATCTCTCATAGTTTTCATCTTCCTCACAGGCCTAATAGTGGTATTTATCTCACAGAACTATTTTGGAAATTAAACTAATTAATAACACAAAACAATAAGAATACCTAACACAAGTGAGAACTCAAGAAACAGTCATATGATTATAATACAAAACCAGTTTCTGAAACATGGATAATACAAAACCCACAATGCAAACAAGACACTTTATTGGAATAATTACTAAACAATGAAGCACTAAAGGTATAATTAAGACATTTTAGATATTAGAATTATAAGTGGAGTATTTAAAGGATTCACAGATTCATAAGTTGTATTAAGAAATTTAATATCTGAATTTGGGAAATAAAATTTCACAATCACTGAAATGCTTACTTCTTCAAGGAATCTTCTCGGCTGTAAAGATTTGAGAATCTTGTCTCCTGGCCTTGAAAAGTAATTTAAAAAAAATGTTAACTGTAAGCAAGGAGTCAATTAATTATGTATTAATTATCATCTAACATACAAAAAAAATCTGAAAATTTTTTCAAGATAATGAAAATTTCTTAAGGAATAGTACAACTTTAAACTTAGGAAATTAGTAATTAACATTTTTAAAGCAAAGCCATAAAAAAATTAAAGAAAATTCCAGATAGAAACAAAACATACAGAATTTAAAAAACCCCATCTTTTTATGGAGTAATGAGTCAAAGGTAAAAATGCTGGCTCAAAGTCAGAGAGAGAGAGGTAAAAACAGAGAAGGAGAGACAGAGATGGGGCTACGAGCAGAGAAACACCAGCAAGGTCTCACTTTCCAAAACCAGAAAGGTAATAGCGAACTAAAATGTTCAGCTAGACTCCATGATAATATAACCCCACTTATGATCTCAAAAGTTATCTGTATGTTGGTAAACAAGCATTTGGTATTTTATAAAAATTAAAATTAATCTCTAACTTTATTCAGCCAAATTAATGATACGGTGAAAAAATAAATGCAATTTTGGTACTTAAGTCTTTGCAAAGGAACTCCTAATGGATCATAATTAAACTGAAGAACCTCTTAAACAATGGCTTTATATCCCAAGTTGTGAGGCTGAAAAGATTCCTCTAGTTCTCTCATTTTAAACAGTTTTAGTCCTTTCCTTCATGATCCTGTTATTTGCCATAAATGCTCTTCTCTAGTCCTCTATCTCTTCTCTCTTCAGAGGGAAACAAACGTGAAATACTCTAATAGGGACTTTTTTTCTTCAGGATTTGAGAACTGTGCATTTTCTAGACTTGATATGCTACCACATAGCTTCAGTTTATACAAGTGGAGGGTTTCCAATTCCTAGGAATTCTTCTATAATGTACCACTCATCACTCAAATGCAAAGGATAAAGAAGCTACTATACTGAAGTTAATTTCTAAAATGGTATATATCCAATAAGTGTGTATAAATACATACACATATATGTACATATATATATACATATATATGTACAATAATATATCTAATATATCTAGGTGCCTAACATAGAACCTCGGGAATCACTAGAATCACTGTTAATAAACAATAATTTGAATGCCAATATGAGTTAGAACTCCTTGGATTAAGTCAGATTTTCTTATCATATGTTGTCATTTTCATTACTCCTCTAATATTAAAAATTAAATTATATATTATAAAATTAAATATCTTTATGGAGCTCTGAGTAAAATACTTGAAAACATTAGGGACCATTTGAAATTCAAAGTGTCCTTTCCAGAAATTAAATGACATAAAACCAAAGTATCTTTGTCAACCTAATGTCAGAGAATAAGGTGCTAGGAGTTACAAAAGAATAACATTGATCTTAACTAAAAACTTTATACTTTGAAGTTCAACTTGTCCAAGCTTCACATAACAAATATTTAGATACTTACAGCTGTCTCCTCTGAAGAAAGAACACCCTCTACTGCCACTATCTGGTATTGCTTATGTTTCAGATTTCCCACAAATTTCCGAAGCTGCTTGAGACTGCTAGCTTCCAGGTCTTGTTTTAAGAGTTTCTGCATGTCTCGAGAAGGGCATCCAGGATCAAATATTAGTAAACATAAGGTTCGGTTTTTTCTTTCTTCAATTCCAACAACTGTTCGACTATGACCTACCAAAAAAAATCAAAGAACATTGTGTGTGTGTGTGTTATCTACCAATCTACATCTATATACAGATATGTTACTATAAAATGTACCCACATATATACAGACAAACTATACATACTTTCTGTATATAGTGTGTGGGCACACGTGTGCTTAGAATATAAATATAGTCAGTCCCTCTGACATACAGGTTATCTGAGCTCTTTCAGTTCTAAGACAAGAATGTAGTTCTACTTCCTAACCTTCAGTTTTCTTTTGTTCAATTTTAGTTTTCTAAAGGCTTCATGGCAAAAATTCTACTTCTACTATGCCATATATTTTAGTGTTTCTTTTGTAATTCCGTAATCCTTCTCATTCAAATTATCTCAAATGAAAGGATTTGAAATTTACCTACTGGAGAACAAAAACTCTCAAAAGGTAAACAAAAGTAAATTTATATATACTAGAATTTCAGTGGGAAGGGCTTAATCTTTATAGCGTATATTCCTAAACAATGAAATTCCTAACGCTTACTTCTCCTTATTCCTGTCAACTCAAATCATCCATTCAACAAAATTTATCAAATACCCATACGCCAGGCACTATTCCAGGCAGTCAGCAATACAGAAGCAAACAAAACAAACTCTCCTGCCTTCACAGAGCTTATATTCTAATAGGAAGAAACACTATAAACAAGGCAAGTAAGTGAAGTTTATACATGTTAGATAAAGAAAAATAAAGCAGGGAGGAGGGGTAGGAAATGCCAGTGCTGGGGGTGGGGTTAGATAATGAGATGACATTTTTTAAAAGGTGGTCAGGGAAGGCCTGAAAAGCAAAGGATGAACAATAAAGGAAGACTGAACCAGATGGTCTCGAAGATATCAAGGATAGCACCCAAGATCGGAATATACTGTAATGACGTTATAGTTCTAAAAATCAAAGGACTATCACAATCCTCTCCTCCTATTATCAGAACCTTAACCTATCCTAAGGCAAAAGCCAATCAAGTGCCTTATTAAGGTGTTGTCTTTCAAATTACACTTACTATCTGTAAGGTATACTAACCTTGATGCTGAAGATAGATAGGAGGTTTAGATGTACACATTACTTTTGGACTCCCTTCTCTCTCTGAAGAATAATAGCTCAATATCCATTCAAATAAGCGGGGGTGTGTACCCAAAGGACCAGTTGACTTGTGAAAGTCAACAATACGGCACCTATGAAAAATTGATAAAATAGATTATTCAGTAAATAGTATTTAAAAAAATATTTTCATTAATGGAACTATGAAATACAAAACATTTTAAATTTAGAATTAATTTTATCTCATTATTTTCCTAAGAAGAAGGAAAATAAAAATTTTATTTATCTGAAAACCTGTCATTTTATGAGGAGATGATTTAAATAACTGAATAAGGTTGATGACTGGTATAAAAGTTACAAAAATTTTCTGACATAAAATCTCCATTAGTGGTAAATGAGGATCATATTTGATTTTTAAAAGTCTACATGTAACATGAAACATAAGAGAATTTTACTCTGAAGTCTCTAAATCTGATGATCAATTAGAAGCTGACTTCTAATTATAATTCCTCAACAGTCATTTGAAGCTGTCAAAATATCCTGAATATATTTTGTCAGCTCTCTCAAATTTCAACAACAGGCAAGAAAAGAATACCCGTAAAGATCAGAGAAAAACCTGTATGTACCCCCCACATACACCTATCTGCCTTCCACTTGGCACCAGACCATGGTGGTATTATTTCCTCAAGAGGAAGTCAATCTTGAATATTCGTATTATTTTAACCAGAAGCACTAGTCACACTTCTCAATAGCTATTTTAAAATGGCAGAGTATAAGCAAAATCAATTAAAAGCTTTATTCTCACTTTAAAGTATAGCACAGATATCCTATCCCTGTCTCTCTTCACCATAAAGTCTCTAAATTCACCCAAATTACAACAGTTGCTATCTGTAGCCTTATCAAGTTTAATATTGATGACTTTCAACTGATTACTACTGAGTTTTAAATGCTAAAATGAACTTCTGGAAAAACTGCCAAGAAGTAAGAACAGTGCTTTTGAATTAGCAGTTGACTGCAGTCTTAGATGTTGAATCTGAATAGTATTCTACAGACTATAATTCATAGAGAGCAAAAGGAAGACATTTAAATAACTAGCAAACAAATTCAGGGTATAGTAATAAAAAGGCATTACTAAAAAACTAAACTATTTCAGGTACCAAGAAAACAGCTGGATATATCAGCTATTTTTAGACAAAAATTTTCCTTTCCCTAAAAATTACTTAAAAACTCAGAACATGATACAGTATATATAAAGTGAAGGTATGAACAGATTGGTGAAAAGGAAAAGAAAGAGAAAAGAAATTTAGAGGACATTAAAGAGAATGAGGACAGACAAGAAAATGGCACACATTTTTGGAAAAATGGAAAGCGGGAGAGAGGAAACGTAAAAGTGACTGCAAAGAAACACAAACAACTGTCTTAAAACCGGAGAGAGGATAGAAGCCTAATGACATCAGGTATTGGGTAGAGTAGTAGTGGAGCTAAAAATACGAGATTAACTGAATAAAGGGAGCAAATCACTACTCAACTCCCCCTTTCCACCAACGTAGGAGGTGTAGACAAGAGAGTGGAGAATTTTTCTCTGAATGTCCTCTGAGAAAAGATCTCTCTCTATACTGGTATTTGCGAGTTCCCCAACCACACAGCAAACTTCCACTAAGAAATGAAGTCTGCTCATCTGCAAACTTCATGCAATCCTACAGGACCGCCAATCAGCATTTTAGTGTTTCGTTTCTCACTTTAGGAATAGACAACTAAGGATTTTTAAAAGTTAGAAGAAAGCCTTCAAAATGTGAAAGACTAAATAAACATGAAAACAATTTAACATGGAGGCAGAAAAATACAAGGAATAGGAAAAAATAAAACGTTGGAAAAAGATTCTACATCCATAAAAGGCCATGATGCTATGAAGTTATCCCTTAAATTAAAAAATATGACTGTTAAAATAAAAATTTCAATAGAGTAGTTGGGAGATAAAGTTGAGTAAATCTAGACAGTAAAACAAAAAGCAAAGATTAAAAAAAGTGAGACATGACCAGCAAACTTACAAAGTCAAAGAAGTTCAGTGGGCAACTAACACAGTGGAGTTCCAGAAAGAAGATTAAAGAAAATAGAGGGATGATAATTATCAAACCACAGTTAACCTCTAAGCTCTAAACTTCATGCCAGTCACAGTCCTAAGAACTTTATTATCTCATTTAAATATTACTGAAACTCTTTGAAGCAGTTACAATTTACATGTTCTTTTATCACTGGCGGAACTAGGGCACAGACAAGTTAAGTCACAGAGCTAGCAAGTAGAAAGCTAGGATCAATTGTAGGCAATCTGACTTCAAAGTCTAAGTTTTTAACCACTACACTGAGATCTTACAGCCTACAATTCCAGATTCAAAAAGAAAAACAAATGTCCAACACAATGAATCAAAGCCCCACATCTAATGGTGAACTTTCGTAGTATCAGAGCTAATAAAAAGATGCAAAAAAACTTCTAGGGAAAATAAATAGGTTATACATAAAGGAATGAAAATCAGATGGTATCTTACCTTCTCATTAGTAATACTGATGGCTAGACATCAACAGATCAACAACTAATCTGATCTGAAAACAACTTTTTGAGTTTAGAATAATATAGCTACCCAAACTATCACTAAGGTAACAAGACTAGGTACCCTTTCTTAAGAAGCTAACAAAGGAAACGTTCAAGCAAAAGAGAGAAAGGTGAAATCCAGGAAAAATCTAGGATCCAATTCAAGAAAACAGTGAAGAAATGTTACATGATTGGAGCTGTGGAAAGGATCTAGAAGGCAAATAATCCCAACTAGAGCAAACAGGATGACAGCTTCAAGAAAAAGGTGTCCAGGAACAAGGAGTGCCTCAGATTACATGGTAAGTGAAGTTTCTGGAAAAATTTGACTATGATGCAGTCAAACAGTGAAAGGAAAAAGGAAAGGCAATTCTTAAGGAAATTTTTAAAATCTTTTCAGGAAAGATATAAAACCAGCAGAATAATATTTACACAGTCATGATGTAAACTCTGACTTTAACTTAATAAAAACTGAGATTTAACCATAAGAATTGAGGGTAAACAGATGGGAGATATAAGCAGAAACAGACAATGTCTAACACTGATAAACCAAGAAAAAGCCATGAAAACATAATTATTTTAAAACAACGGAAGTGATAGCTGCCTCCGAGAAACAGGACTTGAGAACAGAGAAGAGCATGAAACAGGGAATGAGTTCCTGCTTTGCATTATAAGTTTTCATTTTATTTTATTAATGTTACTTAAATTCTGTTTTATCCCTTTGATTAAAAAAAACACAACAATAAAAACTTCCCAGATACGACAATTACATTAACTTGGCTTTTTAGGTACATACTTTATCCTTAGGGAGGTCAGAAGTGTATACACTTCACAGGCTCCTATCCACGCCTTTGTTCCCTGTAACCTGTTATTAAGTTGAGAGGCACCCTGAGGATCAAAACCTTCCTTCCATGCATCTTCAATCATAGACTGAATTTTTGGAATGCAAGGAACTGACATACCTAAAATTATACAAAGCAAACATGTAATATGACAGTTACTAAAGTACTGAATAATATCATTTAGCAGTACACCATATACTGGAGAGGAACCTACAATACAGATTTTAAGACAGTTTATTTCTGACATCTTCTATCATTTTCTCTTCCTCCAACCAGAATTTAGGTTTTTAATATAAATACCTACTAAAATATTTCTTCATTAAAGCTGTTAATTGTTCCTACTATATATTAATTCATTCTGTATCATATATACTTTACAGATGGTAAGTTCAGAGTATTCTATTTTACATACCTTTTAAGCAATCATCGTAAGCATCATTTTGTAATAACGACGAAAGCAGCATTTGGAAATTTCTGTAACCACAACCCCAACCTTTGTCACCAAAAGACGAATGAAAGTGATCCACTACTGCAGAAAGCCACACACGCCTCACATCTGTGGCAGCATTCTGATAATACCTATAAAGTGCTTCCATAATTCCTAAAGCAGAAAAGAGATTTAGAAGATTTAGAAGAATATTACCATCTTTCTATGACTGCCTCATGTATTTCCAGTACCAATCTCTTTCTCAAGTGCCACACCTAAATCCTGTAAATTCCATCTTCTTTATCTTTTTACTGATGTAATCTTAGTCTGTGTCCTGCTTTTTACTACTACACAAGTTTCCTAATACTATCATATTACTTATTACATGGAACTGAAATTGTTTGCTTCTTTCATTTCTGCATCTGCAGGGCCCAGCACATAAAAGGACACTGTTGAATGTTGTTTCTCCATTTTATTATACATTCTACTGGACATCACTCTCTCTGAAGCTCAGTCCTAGTCAATTTGCTCCCAATTTAAAAACTTCGATAGCTTCCTATTAGCTATGGAATAGTTTTAGTCTAGAGTATATGAAGCCTACACAAGCTATCTTCAAAGTTCCCTTTATTTCAAATCACTCTTCTTGCTGTAATTTTGGCTGTGGCCTAACCGAACACATTAAACATGATTTGACCATGGAGTTTTCATTCAACTACAGTATTTGCTAAGCACTTTTTATATACCTAGCACTATGCTAAGCATTGAGAATACAAAAAACGTGTATGATGATATTCCTTGAAGTCTTCTGGACCCAGATTATATAAATGCAACAGTATTGATAAACAAGGTGTTAGGAGAGGGTACACCTGACTCTCTCCCTCTCCTCCTTCCAGTATACTTTCCCTATATTTCAAAATCCTACAGACACTTTCAGGAGCAAATGCTATGGTCTTCATAGACCCTTTTCCTGATTCCAACCATCTCCCCTCACAAAAAAGGTCCTCTTTGAACAATCGCTAAATGATTTATTTGTTGTGCCCCCCAGGTACTGACCATATTCTGTCAGGGCAGAATACTACAGCTTTTTGTGTGTACTTAACAGACTCTGGGAAGCTTATGGGCAGAAAAGTCTTATTGGATAGCCCATACCTTCTCATATAGAATGTGGCACCAAAAAGACAATCACTACATGCTTTAGCTGGATGAAGAGTATCCTATAGGAAAATGGGGTTTTGTCTTTAAAAAAGGTAGAGTCAATAAATCAAAACAAATTAACCAAGAGTTGTAGCTGGGCCTACACCATGAAGGACAGACATATAGCTCATTATAACCATTTCCAAGGAACTTAAAAAGATTAGACTTACAGTCAAGAAAAAGAACAATTAAAATGCTATATAACTGAGTACTAAATGTTAAGCATGGAATGGGTACTCTAGGAATTCAGAGAAATTAATATGAGATTCATTATCATAGACTTTGATGAAGAAATCAAGATTTGAAAGAGATCTTTAAGAATTAGGGGGAGTAACAGAAAAAAAAAGTAATATGCATTCTAATGTACTTTGGCATAGTTATTACTAACTCAATGGTGCCCCACTGTCTAGGTAATACTGTTCTAGCAACCACATCATATAACTTGCTTTTAAGGGAAAATTTCCACACAATAAAGCTTTTCATTTCTTAGCACCTAAATCTCTACATATTTTCCAAGATAAAACAATTTTTTGTTAAATTATATTCTATTGTTAAAATAATAACAAGAGACTCTTCAAATGATAGCTGCTCCAATTAACATTTGCATAACTAACAAAAAATAAAAATCTTATTTGGAACTCTGGATTTCCTGGATCTGGATGTCTGTTTCCTTCCCAAGGTCAGAGAAGTTTTCAGAGAGCCAGTGTCTGCTGGTGGGGAGACTTAGACTTGGCTGGTGCCCTGGTTTTTTATGCTTGGTTCCCTAGCTTTCACAAATGCCACCCAGAGGATGCCCCTTGACAGTCTGGCTCTGGTGGCTAGGATGGCTTGCATTCCTGGTTCTCACGGGACTACAGCCATCTAAAAGATGATTCTTGGAAGGCTGCCACCCCCAGGGCAGCACACAGGTGTATCCTCTCATGCCGTATTAAAAGGCAAACATTTAAAAAGTGTCACCATACAAAGTGTGAGTCAGGATACACTGATACAAATGTACATTACAACCATTTTAGAAAACAGCTCCATAATAAAGTTAATTATGCACATGCTCTTTAATCTAGTATTTTCAGTCTGGATGTTTGAGAAACTCCTGAGGAGGAAGCCTGTTTATAATCTGTAAGAATAAAACACTGGAAACAACCTAAGTCATATAAGAAAATACTATGTAGCAATCAAAATGAATGAAGTACAGTTAAAGAATCAACATATCTGAACAAATCCAATTAGAGCATATATATTGTATACCAATTTATATGTGGTTTAAAATTCAAAATACTATATATTGTTATGGAAACCCACACATAAGATAAAATTATTAAAACATACATGAGACTGAAAAACACCAAATTCAGGATAATGATTCCCTTTGTGGAGGAGGAGGGATTAGAATCAAAGAGGGGCACACAAAGGGTTTAAAATACACATGAAAGGTTTCACAACTTTATTAAATTTCATAAAAGTTGGGTGGTGGGAACAAAGCTGTTTCCATATAATTTTTCTTTCCCTTTTTAAACTATATTAACAGATGTGTTTTTTCAAATGCTAAAAACATCAGGTAAAAAGGCATTCTTTGGAACAAGGCAGATCTGATTGTGAATACCAGCTGGGCCAATGACTAGCTATGTAACCTTACCTTGGGAAGGTAATCTGACGTCTCTAAGTCACAATTACCTCATGCAAGATTTTTGTTTTGAGAGTTACATGATATAATACATATAAAGGTTTAATGACTAAAACTGTACTGAACAATATGGTACCATTATTGACACGTGGCTATTTAAACACTTGAAATGTGGCTTGTCCAAATTGAGATGTTCTGTAAAGTGTAAAATACACATTGGATTTTAAAGAATGTACAAAGATTGCAAAATATCTCATGAGTAGTTTTTAATACTGATTACATGTTGAAATAATATTATGAACACACTGGGTTTAAAATATCAAAATTAATTTCAACTAGTCCTTTTTATTTTTTCTAATGTAATTACTGGAAATTTAAAATTATTTATGTGGCTCACTTATATTCTATTAGACAGCATTTATCTAGAACACAGGAAGCACTCAAGAAAAACTTTTATAAAATGTTTGTTTTCAAATGTCAAATAAATTAACACAATATAAAAGTGAGTTACTTTTAAGTGAATTACTGTAAAAATAGAAGCTCAGAAGTTTTAAAACAACATATTTTAAACAATTATATAAACTGTGGGTTAGAAAATTAAACAAAATTCAAATAATTCTGATTACTACTTCAGTGATGTATGGAATATAAGAACCATGATTTGGATATTTAAATACTCACCAGAAGTTTTTGTTTTTCCATCATCAATACCCATAGCTAGTGATTCCATCATATCAACTTTTCTTCTATGAAATTCAGATGGATGCATTCTTCCCCTATTTACTTCTGTCTCCATATTTCGTAGCTGCTGTTGTTTGTACCCTCCAGAATTATCTAAACCATATTGTCTCTGTAGAACATAAAAGCAAATGGCTTAATTTTTATGTCCCTTTATGTCAATGAGGATGGAAACTTACCACTATTTTATTTATCTGGAAATAAACATCTGAAACATCTTCATTTATAGATTTTCATACAAGTCAACTTAAAGATTGTTAGGGAAAATAAATCACACATACACACAAAAATCCCTGAGTTAATAACAGCCTTTCTCTACAAACAATCATCACTGAAAGAGACTTACTCTCCTTGTAGTGGGGAAAGTAGAGAATCCTGTCTTCCTACTAAAGGTACTGTGAAAGGCAGACGAGTTCTGACCATTTGCTGATTTTTTCAAGAAAAACTGTCAATATTTGTTTTTTGGTTCCCAGACTAGCCTACAAAGGCCTAATTAATTCATAATTCACTTAGGTATTCATTCTGTATAGTAAATGAACTACATTTTTGCACACTGGCAGAGAATCTTAAATAATATGTTAAAACAGCCCCTATGGAAAATGTTTCTAAGATCTAAACAACTAAGCTGCAAAATTACATAATAAATTCTCTTAAATATTGAAAACTTTTGTATTGATAATTTTCAAAATTATATAGAGCAAAGAAGATTTAGGAAGAGCCAACTTTCTTTTCTCCTTTGAACTGTTGGGAAAATAATTTTGCAAATAAATGAATCTGAACGAGAAAAACAGCCTTAAAGAAAGAATGAGACGTTCTCACACATAACTATGTGCAAGATATTGGAGAAAAAAAGTCAGAGGTCAAATAAGCACAGGAAGATTATGAGATGTACACTGCATATTTGTATATTAAAGGCTCTGAGAAGACCTCAAGTTTACAAACCTGTTTAACTGAACACTTTCACATCTATTCAATGATAAACCCTTTTTATTCACACATTATCCTATTAGCACACAGTAAAGGAACATTTAAAAACCCTGTGAGCATTATTAACACAAACGACATCATAGTCCACAGCAAATTTTCTACTAAAAAAAAATAGGAAAAGCTGTTGAAATTTTAAAAACATTAAAAATATAATAGACACTACCAGTTTAGCTCAACAGATATACCACCACTCATATGAGATAAACGTAGTCTCAAATATCATCAAAAAGCATTTTCCATTAAAAATGGCTCTTTCTAAATGCCTGAATTGCAGTCACTAAAAGAATTTAAGACTCAGACAGGAGACATTCATTCTGAGTTTCTATGTTAAGTATCTATACAAACTGCTAAAATTCAAATTAGTTTCCTAATTTGTCCCAACAACATAGGTTTGAATCCAGGCTTCACCATTTAACACTGCCCAACCTGAGCAAGTTAAGCATTCTTTGTCTCCATTTCTTCATCTGCTGTAAAAAAAAAAAAAAAAATCTAAAATAACTTCTTTATGGAGTTGTGAAGATTTTGAGATACTTTATATGAAATGTTTACCCCAGCACATGACCACAATGAGTACTTATAAATGGTGGTTGTTATGAACCCTAAAAAAAAAAAAAGTAAAAAAATACTTTATATAATAAAGACAAAGATAATATTCTGAAATCTTGACAGCATGTTTGAAAAATACGAACTCTACCAAACCAAAAAATTCTTATTAACCTCTGTACCTGCAGCTTCTGAAATTCTTCCATTTCTTGTCTTGATTCTTCATATCTCCTCTTTCTGTCTTCTTCTTGTTGAAGCTGGTGAGCCAATTCTAGATCTCCAGAACACTGGACTCTATCCATGCCTATTACATATTTTTAATGTTATAGAATAAGGTTAACTGATATCAAACCTCACTTAAATGTTAAACATATTTTTAAATGGAGGAAACGCTATTATTTTGCCATTTACTCCTGACTATGATGTCACAGAAACAGTACAAATCTAGCAGAACTTGAACTGCTTCTGTAAGGGTATAACACTCCTCTTAAATCACTAATATTCACTGAGTGTTTAGGCTATGACAAGGACTTATTAAGTATCTCATTTGGATCCTCTTAACAATGTTAGAAAGTTAGATATTATTATCTACTGAGGAAACCAGAACTTAGAGAAATTAAGTAACATCCTTGAGTAGTGCTTCTTATTAACCCAAATAAGGCAGATTGGTTTTTAAAAGAAACACTGGGAGGGATAAAGGAAATAAAAAAAGAACATAAAAATATGTTTGCAAATTTTTTGCAAATGCAAAACTATGTTACAGATATTAGACCATAACTTAATTACAATGTAGCCCCAAACAAACAGTACAACTATGCAACACCTTGCCCTTTTCCCTCTCTACCCAGTGTCCCACAGATACATTAGTCAGTGGCTTCTGGCCAGCATCTTCTTGACCTCCCAATTTGATGGTTTACTTATGTGTTAAATATTCTTTCTTTCCTTTCAAATCTTTCAGCCTCTGCTATATCTTTCTATTTGGTCTCCACATCCATTGCTGCAGATACACAATTCAAAACTGATTTTTAGCATACTTCTGAGGCTATCTACAGTGATTTACTCAGACCATATCTTTCTCTCATTACCCACTAGAGGCTTACAGAAAACTTCATGTACCCATACAAAGCTTATCACAAACAAAGTAAAAATTATCAGACATTTCAACTTCAGAGGGTTATTCTTCCACAGTAATTAATAGAGAACCACCCACAGTAGAGGACTGTTCCATCTTTGCTCCAGCAATTCTCATCTTGGTATTAGGCTGAGAAAGCAGGTAATGCTGTCCATGGACATCACTAACTGATACTAGGATCACTGATAATGACCACTGAAGACTCCTGCAGTAAAAGGAGATATCTGTGTACCTTAAGAAACCAAAATCTAGTAAAACACAACTGGTTTCTCCTAGGGTCTACTTTGTATTTTGTTTCAATGGAACTGTGAAACTCATATAGGATCTTTCCACTTTTAAAAAAGACAGGGGACAGAAGAAAACTTCAGAATCTCTTATAAAACTAGTAAGTGGTAGTAAATAAGCTAGGCAAGCAGCTGGAAATGCACTTGAAAAACTTTTAAGCCACATAGTTTACATTCTTTTTCATATGTGCCATATGGCAGCTTCCTAGTTCATAAACAATTTTTACTGACAAGAGGCTAAGTTCAATTACTTCAAGCTGCTGGAAGAATGGCCTCAACTTATAAATCGAACAGATTTTAAAAATTGTACAATATTTCACTATCTTCTAAATACTGATACTGTTGGGGAAAAGCCGGGATGAATACCCGTAGTTCAGTTGCTGTTCACAACAGTTCATCCTTTGTAACTTTTCTGTGAAAAAAACTTCTAAAAAAAAGTTGGAAGCCATATTGAATTTTTTATGGGAAGGCTTATTTTTAACCATTGTGCTCTCCCCCCATATCACTAATTTAAAAAGAAGATAGTGCCCTAAAATTAGAAATTAAATCATAACATGCTTATTTTTAAACATATAGGCATACCTTGTGCAAAGCTGCTTTCTTCCAAATGCAAGTCAACATGTTCCTGGAGAATATGGTAATTTGTACAGATGAGCCCACACATAGGGCAGTCATAGAGTGGTTGATCACAGCCTGTATTAGAGATATAATTCAGTTGGTTTTATTTTTAAAACTTCTAGATTTTTCACCCCAAGTCAAAGACTGTCTACTATCCACTAACTTCATTAAATAAAAAAAAGCTCTTTGTAGTTGGGTTTAAAGCAATTTTTCTACTTCTAGAGTCAAGATGGAAGACTGAGCATAAGCACAAACCTCTCTTATCCTACAATACAAGAAAATATTAATAATAAACATTCATATCTATAGTAAAAACAAGAAAAGTAGAAAGGAAAGTCAAATGGTAAGTAGAGGCCAGGCTAGATATGGACTTTATGGGCCAAATTCTCAGCAACCTCCAAACTAAGTGGTTAAGCGCAGAATTCAGATATTCAGCAAAAAGTTGGGCATTGGGATCAAACTGTTTAGTTGGGAGCGTAAGATCAAAGAGCTGCATCCATCAACCAGCACTGCAGACAGACAGGTGTAGCTTGCCCAGGACGAAAGAAGTGGTACCTCCGTGAGACCAAGATCTGGCTGATACTGGGTAAAGAAGATATTATTATGGTATCAGGGACTGCAAACTAAAACAAGATAGCACTACACACATATTAGAATGGCCAAAACTTGAAACACTGACAACACCAAATGCTGGCAAGGGTGTGAGCAACAGGAACTTTCATTCATTGCTGCTGGCAGTGCAAAATGGTACATTCACTATGGAAGAGTTTCGTAGTTTCTTATGAAACTAAACACATTGTTACCCTATGATCCAGAATTATATTACTTGTAGTATTTACCCAAATGAACTGAAAACTTCTGTCCACAAAAAACCAGTACATGGATGTTTACAGCAGCTTTGATCATGATTGCCAAAACCTGAAAGCAACCAAGATGTCCTTCAGTAGGTGAATAAATAAACTGTGGTGCACCCAGACAATGGAATATCATTCAATGCTTAAAAAAAAAAAAGAGCTATCAAGGCATAAAAAGACATGGAGGAAACTTAAATGTATATTGCTAAGTGAAAGAAACCAATCTGAAAAAGCTATATATTGTATTATTCCAATTATATGACATTCTGGAAAAGGCAAAAATATGGAGACAGGAAAAAGAGATCAGTGGTTGTCAGTGGTCAGGATAAGGGCAGGATGAATGGGTGAAGCACACAGGATTTTTAGTGAAACTATTCTGTATGACTCTAAATGGTGGGTTCATACATTTGTCAAAACCTGTAGAATATACAACACCAAGAGTGAACCCCAATGTAAACTATGGACCTTGAGTGATACAGATGTGTCAATGTAGGTTCATTTATTAACAAATGTATCATTTAGTATGGGTTGTGGATAGTGGAGGAAGTTGTGAGTATATGGGGACAGGGAGTACAATGGTACTCTCTGTACTTCCTACTCAATTTTGCTGTGAAACTGAAACTTTCTAGAAATAATGATTACTGAATTTCAAAAAGTGAATCTATGCACTCTTCTTAACCTTTTATAAAAATTAACTCAAATGAATCAGATTTAAATGTAAAATTCAAAACTATAAAACTTCTAGAAGATAACATGGGAAAGATGACCTTGGATTTGACAGTTTTTTTTTTCCCCTCTTTTTTTTGGGCAAAGAATTTTGACATAACATCAAAAGCATAATCCATGACAGAAGAAACCAAGTAAGTCTGCATTTCATTAAAAGTAAAACCTTCTGCTCTGTGAAAGACACTGTTAAGAGAATGAAAAGACAAGTCCCAGACTGGGAGAAAATATTTGAAAAGCACATATCTGAAAAAGGACTTGCACCCAAAATGTATGAAATTACTCTTAAAACTCAACAGGAAGAAAGAAATACATGATTCTAAATGTGCATGCACCAACAAAAGAGCCTCAAAACACATGAAACAAATCCTGATAGAGCTGAAAGGAAAAACAGACAAACATACAATTATAATTAGGGACTTCAAATACTTTTCAAAAACTGGTAGAACTGCTACAGAGGAAATCAACAAAGACACAGAAGATCTGAACACAACCAAACAACATGCTCTAACTGAAAAAATACAGAACACTTGACCCAACAGTAGAATACACTTTTTCCCCCAAGTATCTCTGGAACATGTATTACAATAAGCCATATACTATATCTTAGGCCATAAAACAAGATTCAACAAATACAAAAGAACTTAAATCATAGAGTGTGTTCTCTGATCATAACAGAATCAAACTAAAACTAGAACTCAATAACAGAAAATCTGAGTCCCAAACAGTCCAGATGCCACTGGGCCGGGGGTAAATAAAAGACTGCTCTCTGGAAACTGGATTCTGGGTGTATTTCTCCTAGAAAGGGTCTAAAATGTGGAACCTTTCAATGTAGCTGAAACATTATTTGCGTCAAATTTCTTTTCTATTACTGCATTTTCATGTTGCAGTAACAAGTGAACAACGCTACAAACTGATTTCAAAATCACACTTGTAGTAATGTGATTTACCAACAACTTTTTAATTAAGTTGAGACTACTACTTACATAAAATGAACACTTTACCTTCTAATGGAGTGTCTAAAAGATTGGCATGCTTTATTTTCACATGAGTTTCCATATCTTGACTACAATCCTCTATTTTTCCACAGAATGGACATTCAGGAGCACTATACATTGTTTCATAAATTGATTCTTTTATTTTGGTTTGGTCACACTGTTTTCCTTTACTTTTCAGGAATTTTCTAGATTCAGTTAAGTTGTCCGAATACAAGTCTTTATGTTTTAAAGTAGCATCCTTAGGCAGGCTTTGAGCTGAAATTTTTGGATGATTAGATGCACAAGCTGAATGAATACTTGAATTAACTTCCATTCTACTTTGTAGGGTGCTGTCCTTCCTGTTATCTGAAGTTCCATACTGGATTGTATTAATCCTCTCAAAGTTTCTTTCTCGTTCATTTTGCTCAAAATGTGCAGTTTCAATATGAAAACACATTTCATCATAATTCACACCTGACAACTTGCAAAATGGGCATATAACTTCATTTTCCATGTGGACAATTAAGAGGTGAGACTTCATGTCTGGTTCTGAGGTTACTGTTTCACCACAAATATCACAAGACAGCATTGTACGGCAGGTAACTAGAAAATAATACAATATTATCTTAAATTAGAAAGTAAGAGTTGAAGGAAAAGAAAATGTATTTTATCAAATGATTTGAAGCAATTACTTGTTTTTTAAAACTAGATTATCTACATGAAGAAATTTTCAACGTACTTACTGTTTTTCAAATATAAAATTTATAAATCTCAACCCAAATCTCACTACTTTATTTCAAGTTTATGGTTTTGATAAAACAAACAGTAATAATGCAAATTCAAATAAATAATTTTTCAAATATTTCAAAAAGTGTCTGGTCTGAAGTAGAGAAAAAAACAATGTTTATAAAATTGTCAAGGTAAGATAAGTCAGGTAAGAGAAAAAGAAATCTTATCAACTGATATAGCTAAATACAAAACTTTAAAGTTATGTTTAAATGAATTGGGTAAATAAACACATTTCAATGATAGGTGTTAACAGTTAAAGAGCCGGATATATATCAAACTAATTTAAGTACCATTATTAACATTCCATATGGAGGAAACCCTGCCTCAGATACCTCACCACCGCCAAAAAATGGTTAGCCAAAATGCTAACTCAGTCAGGCTCCAGAGGCTGTACAGCCAACCCAAAGAATAAAAGCGGACAGAGCAAAGTAGAAAAAAGCAGTGATTCTAGAGGCCAGGGAACCGTATTATAATCTCAGGTTTCGTAATTTTAGGTAAGACACCTCATTTCTTTGAGGTTCAATCTATAAAGTGAGTTGTACTAAAGCAGCAATCATTTCTGAGTCTCACAGATTAACAAAATATTGGCGACCGACAAAAAGGTTAATTTGGCTAAAAAATAAGAAAACAATCACCGCTACAACCTTTCTACTACAGACTATTGTTCAGCTAAAAACTACTTAAAAACAAACAGGAAAAGAAAAATAAGGAAACTATTTCCATCATTTAATTAATTTAACTTTATAAGAACTCTACACTATCCTCATTTTTCTCATTTCCCTTCAGACAAGTGAAAATAGTCTCTAATTTTAGATAGAAATTCTCCCAAACCTCTTGTAGGAAGAGCGTCGCACCCAGAGAGTTTCTTCCTTTCTCGCGGCTGGGACTGGATTAGATACAGGATACGCTTTAACTCCTCAACACTTTGATCAGAACAAGTGGATGAGAGATGTACGGAAGCCGGCAACAAGCGCTCGGATGGTTAAGTGGTGAGGAGGCAATAACCGGAATGTCACAAGGCCAAGCCTGCCCAAAGGTCCGCGCCGAAGTCCCAATCCAGGACAAGAAACCAGCCCAGACACCAATTAGATCAAAGCATTGGGCCTAGGGAACGAGAGTTGGGGCGGTCAGTTTCTAATGGCTCGGAGATCCGGCCACAGCCACACTGCCCTGTGCTCGGCTTCCTCTTCGGGTCCCACTGCTGACGCCGTCTGGCTCGCGGGCAGAGGAGTGCGTGCGCAGCGTCGGTTAACTTTTTCGGCCTGAAAGACTGAGGCAGACTCTCTTTGTTCTCAAAGATTCACGGTTAACCGAGAAAAGAACCAGCGACTCGAAAAAACTTCAGCCTCCACTGACAAATTCAAAAAAGCGCTTCCTCTGTCTCCCGGAAGGGAAGGACTCCCAACATGCACCGCTCCACGCCGATCTGGGTTGTAGTGCATTCTGGGAGTCGTAGTCATTTTTTGCATCTTCCTATTGAGGTTCCAACTCCTAATTTACAGGGAGAGACCCTGGGCTAGAGGTCTTTATGAATGAAATCCGAGGGAGGGTCCTAGGGCATTACACGAACCCACAATACCCATTATCCAGGGGCCTGACTGAGTAGCGCTCTGTTATCAGCAAGGAGTTTATAATGCTACTACGTGCCAAACTCCAAATTATGGAGGATTACCAAGACATGTTCTTGCTCAAGGTTACAACGTATCTTGTTTTCTAAATTAAAAACAGGAAACAGCTCTTGGCATTTAAAAAGTACAACAGTAAAATTTTTAAAAATGTATCAATGGAGAAGATAACTCAAGAAATTTTTCAGAAAAGAGAACAAATAACAGAGATGGAAAACGGGAGCTTTTTCATGGAAGGAATCATGTGTTATTTATCTTGTATATTCTGTGCCTAGCACTACATGTAGAAAACAGTCTGTTTTTAATACTGTTCAACCCCAGGGAGGATTACAAGGCTTTATGTGTGTTATACTGCTTTAGAGTACTTTATCTGGAGTTATTCATTTCAGATACCAGTGCCTACTTTTTGGTAAAAAATCCACAGACGTTATAAAATCCGAAAATTTAAATAAATGGCTGACTGAAAAGCTTGAAACAAATGAGCAGAACACATAGAAAGAAGTGAATGGGCTGAAAGAAAGAAAGAAAGAGACTTTGTAAAGCTCCACGAGGTTAGGATTTTTATCCGTTATGTACAGTTTTACCTCCAACATCTGTAACAATGCCTGGCACAGATTAGGCCCTCCATCTGTACTGCGTTGTAAAATGGACGAACGAACGAACGAACGAATCAGCGAATCAATGAACAACGGAAGAGTAAAAGAGAAAACTTGACAGGCGG